TCTCAACATTTGGTGGTGGTGGCATTTTCTCCTGTGGAACAAGTAACATTAGAACTAGGAAATGAGCTGTCATATATGATTCTCAGTCCTGAAGTTCCTGATGTGTACGATGAGTGAATGAGAAAAGATTATAATTACAATATAGGGATGAAGATTGTGTATAATGTTGAATGCATTACCTGGTAGGTATTGTACAGTATTCATGATGGATTTCATGATTTTTTTTTTTTTTCAGAAAACTAGTCTGAATCAGTAAGATGCCGGTCTCAGAAAACAAGATGAAAGACTAGGCCACACCAATTTAATTTCTTGGTTAACGGATTTGCCCGCTTCATTTTTTTTCTGATTTGCAAATAAAAATAAAAATTCAGAATCAACTGCACAAGACGACACATTGCTCACCTTGTGTCTTCTCTGGGGTCTCTTGATCTCCGGGAGTCGGACACGTTTGTCTGTCGGATCTGTGTCATCCCGCTGCCACACGGTTTTACTGTCTGTTGAGAACGGTGCCTTCTTTCTACTCTCCTGCTGCCTCTGTGGACTCGGTACAAACTCCTCATGTACCATGTACTCTGGCAGGGCAAAGCTGTGGTGCCTGGCAAAGCAATATGAATGCAAAAATGTTCTTTTAAAGGGACCGAAAGCTAACTTCAATAATTTTCTTTTACTAATAATTAAGGTGAATCATTCCAGTAGAAGCATGTCATGCCTCCTTATAATCTTGCAAATTGAAATGCTCAACTGTGTTTCACAAATAATTTACCATTTTTGTTTAATGTTGAATGAGAGGTGGCAACAATTAACAGTGAAATGAAATAGCAAAGTTCTTTGATCACAACCATTTATTTTTCACTAGCCGACGTTTCGATGACCATCTGTCATCTTCATCAGGGCAATTCTGACTGGTTTACTGTGCACTGACGCTAGATGTTACTTGGTGCATAGTGCACTAAAGGTGTTACATGTTTCACAGTGTACTGTTACTAATGGGCCACTAAGCTAGTTTTCACTGTTAACATTACTGTTAATGTTTTCGGAAATGCATTGTTAACAGTAAAAACTAGCTTAAGTGCATTGTGAACCAAGTAACAGTGCACTGTGAACTATGTAACACCTTTAGACAAAGTGCACTATGCACCAAGTAACATCTAGCGTCAGTGCACAGTAGTAAGAATTGCCCTGATGAAGATTACAGATGGTCATCGAAACGTCGACTAGTGAAAAATAAATGGTTGTGATCAACGAACTTTGCTACTCATCCATGAGTGTTTGAAACACCTACAGAGGTTCGTCATCCTCCTGCGGTACGTCATGGTCGAACCAGTCCACTCTGGGATACGGGACGGGGTCCTTGGTATGATCCGGTGGACTCCTGTATCGGAGAAGGTCTGGAAAAAATAAGAAACAATCTTAAAAAAAGAAAGTTTTCGTGGTCATTTCTTGCATTTAGGTCAACTTTTCATGACTGATGCTGATTTTCAATTGCCACCCTTTTGTTGGGATGTTTAAGGAGAACTGTACAAAGGAGTTCCTTGGTAAATGGACCTATAACATTATTACATCATAGTTTGTTTACCTGTTCTATTAACATTCTAGAACGGTCAGTTAAACAATAAATTTAAAGACCATTTCAAAGTTTTCAAAGTCAGGTATGTTTGATTTTTGCTGTGTCTAGTTTTGTTGACACAGTATTACATGCCATAATGGGTGATTTAGTTGTTACAGTAGAGGAAAGTAGTACTGACAGTATTAAAAGCATTTTAAGGCTAACGCCACATAAACACACACAGCATTCATTGCGGTAAACAAACTGTGATGTAATAATGTTATAAGTCCATTAGCCACGCACCGTTAGAACTGCAGATCCTCGCCAGCCAGAAAGTATTTTGGCAACAATTCTTCATGTTATGTTATTTTCTTCTTCGCCACAAGACCATTTGCTAGCTCAGTGCATCTAAAGGCTTAAAATCAGAATGGAATGTGTGCCCACCCCCGGATGATAAAAAAGAATTGGCCTGAAACCAATGTTTTAATGGATCACTGGAAACTTGACATGTTTCCTGGGTAAGACGTGCCCCTCATCATGTGTTGGACAGTCAAACATCCACAACATGTGCCAGGGAGGGGCAGACCTACACATGTATCTAAGAAGGGTCACAATTACATTAACAATGACAATTAACATGGACCTACCAGAAAGACACATTGCTGTAGAACCCATGCTAAACCAAACACCAAAGGACTTCATGACAAAAATTGTGATGCCCCCTCTAACATAACAGTTACTTTTTTTTTGGTAGAAAGACGAGTAGAAAGACAAGCATCAGTACTGACCCTGTCTGCCGCCTTGTTTAGCCAATTTGATGTATTTAGTGTCGGTATCACGAATCCACTTCCTCTTGGATGCCGGATCCACGTCTAGCGGCACATCAGCCGGCAGTTGACTCAGCCCGGGGATCTGTGAAGCCGGCGGAACTGACACCTGTGTGGAGTCTTTCTTGCTTTTCAGTGGAGCGTGGTAAAACCAGTCTGAGGGACAAAACAAAGAAGCTGTCAGATGGCAAATTTATGACACAGCATGAATCTAAAACCTCTACTGCAAAAATGCAAACTCTTCTTAAAAGTTTGTTCTAGAAGTGCTAAAGTGTTAATTTTGATGTCAACAGTCAGATCATATAGGCCCGCTTTACACACACCATTTCTCGTTTTAATATAACATATCATAACACAGTCATAACGTTCGACTTCACCCATTTACACACACCAAGCTAGCGGACTCAGCACCCCATTGACCGACTTAAGTCTGGTTTGCACTTCGCCAAGTCGACTTAGAAATGGTGTGTGTAAAGCGGGTCATAAAGTCAACAACCACCATACAGAACAGTATGCAGTAACCAGGCAAGGGGGCAGGGGTTTTTCTAAACTTCTCAAGTAACAAGCTAATGTTAGCGCCCTCACATTTCAGATTGAAGCCTAAGTTGTTACTTTTACAACATTTAGACTTGCTCAAAATCCTCTTTTTCCAGTAAAAATATAAACACAAGACCACATAACAATTACTGTATTCTAGCATCACAAACTATGTTACTCTCATGAAAATTCCAAAATCTTACCACAAACATGAAAAAGAGGCAGTGTAGAAAAAAATCGTACAGCAGTTCTGGGCAGTTAAGGTATAAACCATAAACGTAATGGATTGATCAAGAAATGTGTTTAAAATGGTCAATTTTTTGCAAGAGAGTCTAGGATGATTTTTCCAATTGGTTGATAGAATGAAGTGACAATAACAAGAACCAAACATTAAATCCACGTGGCCTTAACAAGGCAATCTTCAAGTACATAACTTATGTATAACTTTTTGAAATCCGAAACTTTTTGATTTTTTCCTCCCATGATTTTTTTCATCTCTTGATTAAGTTGTGAACACTTTTACATCATGTGTTCACAATACATTTTTCCAATGCCAAGAATCCAGCCACATCTACACTGTCTAGTCTACTTAACCTTCTCCCTGCTGCCTAACCCTGTAACCGCATTCTCTTTTTAGCGAACGCCCACGAACGCCCAGGAATAAAACAGTAAATTTTGACTTATTTAGGTTCAGCTCGATGGATTCGCTTTAAACTTGGTCCGAAAACGCGGGAGCACACTCTGGACATGACCACACAAAAAAATTTAAGATTCGTGTGACGACTCCTTGGCGTTCGTGGGCGTTCGCTAAAAAGAGAAACCCCCTTGTAACCAATACAAATATGATGCTAAAAGGCTACTTAAAAGCAGGCTGAAGGTTGGACCAACCCTTACCTTCATCTCCTGGCCGTCTGCGTGTTAATGACATGTCTTTGCCTCTGGACTCGACGTTTTGTTTTTATCACCTTCAAATCAGCAGCAATCTGTGAAGTGGGAGAAAAACAGGGTTGACTTTTGTGGCCACACTGCAGGTCTGTGGATATCTGACTCGTCGTGGGAAAACTCAGGCCTTTATTCCCAGGAGCAACAAACAGCAACAAACAGCTGAACAAACTGCAACTACGTTTTAATCTCGCCTTGTAGACGGCCAACAGGTGATTTAAACGACACGCTCCTATCCTTGGTTGTTGTCGGTCGTAAGACCAACTAAGGCTGTTACCAAGTTGCGCTGATCAGACGAAATAATGAAGAAACTTCTACTGGAGTACCTGTTGATATAATTGTCTCTAAGTAAAACTGAACGTGAAATACAAAATCTAGTAAAATGTCCTGCTGAAAATTCTGCAACAAAACTGTTTCTCCGCCGCCAACCCTGATTCTTGGGTCAACCCTTACACTTTTCGTAGTCAGTCTATTTTCTAACCATAACCCTAACGATAGAAATTTAGCTAGTCATTTGTAGGAACCTAGCTGTATAGACTGATCGTACAGGTGACGGTGAAATGTCCTGATACCATCCAACTAAGCCTGGCGTCACGTACGCAACACGGACCTGATTTTCATCAGCTTTTTCTCTCCAGCAACAGTCTGTAACTCTACTGGAACTTCAGTTGTGGAAGAATATTTCAGTCAAAATCTTACCTACGTCTCCTGTAAGTTATGTCTGCACCGGACAAAGAGAAAAACACACCGAACTGATAAATCAGAAACAACCCTCCCGCAACAGGTGGGTAGTTACAACATCTCCATGGCGACGGTTTGTTATCAACCGTTTTGCGGCAAAGATAGTTTTACGACACAAGGCCTCCTGTCCGTCCTACGGCAGTACGAGTTTACGACACTTTCTCATCGCACAGATACCATGTTTGTTTGTTTGTTTGTTTGTTTATTTAAATCCAACAGTGCATAACAAGTGGCAACCAGGCAGCAACAAGGCTGGTAGCGGCTATCACTGACACATAAGTACATACCATGGATAGGATCCTGTCAATAATAGTGGAAATACCTGCACTAACAGAAAAAAATGCACTATTGACAGGACCATCCTGTCAATAACAGAAAAAAATGCACTAGAGACAAGACAATCCTGTCAATAGAATAATTTTCCTACTATAGACGGATGGTCCTGTCAATAGTGCAAATTTTCGTTCAATGCATTGTTAGCAATCAATCAGAAGTCAACATCTACCAACATAGACTTTAACAAGAAAAGTCGGAGTATTTGTCAATAATTGGTAACGTTAATGTTAAACCTTAACAGGTGATGGTTGAAAACTTGTGTGTGTTGGCGTATACGGCAGCGATGGCGACTCGGCAACACGGCACCACCGGTCGAAAAGTGTGAACCACCGCGGATCACCGCCACCGGTGCCCTCGCCCTTCGACGTGCTGCTCGGGCGGCACAGGTGCGTGCATGCAGGGGGCGATCTGCGGCGCCTGGTCTCTCTTGTCCCGGCGGTCACTACCCGCCCGCCACGGCGTTCTCGCTACGTGATCCCGCCAAACGCTGGCGGTGGGTTAATTGACTCGGAGCAAGTTTCGTATCTTAGGCCACAGCAAGTAAGTTTTATGGATAACATCTTCCACAGACTACAGACTGTGCAGGCAAGCTGGACCCTCTATGGCCGTCCAACTCCCCCTTTTTTACGGTAGCCGACTTCTACTATTTATTCGGCCTGCAAAGGAGTCTGGTGGAGACTACGCGCGTCGCCCGTACTCGCACGTACATGACGTACGGGTGGTGAATCCGCAGACCGCACGCAGAAAAAGTTTTACAAGCACTTAAAGTTCTACGGCGTTTCTGCGTGCTCTAAAAATCCGTAGGATTCCGTACGGAGGCGGTACTCACCACGCACGGATCCCCTACGTTTGCCCATGTTTTTGCACGTAGACAGCACGCAGAAGCACGTACGGCGGGTTGATTTCATTACTCTAGTATATGGATGACATCCTCTGGGAACCCCAAAACTGATGCGAGCGTGCGAATGAAAAAGTTTGACAAAAGAAAAAGTTTCCTTCAATCATCATGAAATCTACGTGGCCACTCATAAAGGTTGAACAAATTACTAAACAGACAGAGTGTATATAGCGAATAATACTCTCTTCATTTTCATTTCTTCGCATTATCTGAATTGATTTCGTCATTCTATAGCATTAGTATCGTTTTCCAATACTTCATGTTTTTTGCAATATATGACATATATTCGCTCATTTTGTACGATTTACAGCATGGTCCAAACGTCTTTTTTTGGGGGGGGGGACGAAAATTCATGCGCGCGTGGATGTCATCCATATAATCAATTGAACATGGCCTTATGTAACTTTGTATAACGTAATATCTATCAGTATCATCATCTCTCGAAATGGAAGGATGTCTATTACATTTCACAACGTCCTCCAAGTTTTTCGTCTTCTCCACTGTATTCATCGCCAAAGTGCACGCGTATTAATAGGAAATGGCTATTGACAGGATCATCCATTTTTGCATTTTGACGGGGAAAATGCTGTCAGTAATCTTGTCAATAACTGGAAAATTTGCACTGTTGACAAGATGATCCTGTCAGTAGTACAAAAACTTTGTTACTGACAGGATCTAGCATGATAATAATGCAAAATTTTCTGTTAGTAAAGTGCGAATTATTGACAATTTTCTCTTGTCAAAAGTGCACAAAAATTCTGTTATTGATAGGATAACCCAAGTTCTAGACCAGCATGAAAAATTAAAAAAAAAGAAACTTGATTTCGGTCGTTCCTATCTGACATCCATTGTTACTTTGTCAATTTTACCAAGGACGTCCTTGATTATACTGTGTTAAATATCACTGGAAAGAATAGTGATTTCAATAATGCCCCATTTGTTCTGATTATTATGCATTCATGGACTCGCCGTTTGGACAGAGTGATTTTGTTACAATCTTCTACATTCAGGAATACGGAAACTCTCACCGTGAGCGTAACAAATGCACCTGCGTCAAAACATCATTTGGTTTCAAAAACGCCACCTTTCGTAACCAAAAAGGCTGTAATTTCATTTCATTTTACGAAACCTTATATATAATCTTAAAAATTGTATAAAACGCAATGTGAGGGTGTCAAAAGACAGAATCTTCGGCCCGACGAGCCTTTATGACATGCGAGCCGGGTATTATAAGTTAACGTAGACGAACCCATTGACATGGGAGGGGGGGGGCAAAATAAATAAAACTGCTGTTACAAGACGTCGACAAATCTGATTATTGCTACTTTCCCTTTAATATGTAACCTTACATTGCCCCCTAAAAAAACAGAAAATGCTGCATGGCACACTTTCGCCTTTTTAGAAAGTGAAACTCTCCTTCAGTCCTTGGTTCAATAGTGTTTCTTACGCACCATTTCGGCGCTTCCGCCTTTCCCACGATCAGACTCCTGCAGACTGCCTGAGCTCCGGCGCGCGAGGCAGCTTTATATAGCGTACTAAAAATAGCAACACAAGTTATCACCATATTAGGAAAATCTTTACGTCACTAATCACCAATCAGATGATCCGTCTTATTCACCGGTTAGGGCTAGCCTTGCGAGGTTCCGAATCGATTTCAGAACAACTTCACTGATTGGCTGCAGTGGGTTGGCGGCAATTTGATTACGGTTGCGCGGCTTCCCATTGGCCAAGGAATGTACACAAACATGCAGATGTCATTTCTTCAGAATTCTGGTGGGAACCCATACTCTCCTTGTAACCGACTGTCAAAATACAGAAATTTTGGATGAATTATCTCGCCACAGGAATCTTTGCTTTCGTGCTCATCGAATCCGCCCAAATACAAGTCGGACTAAGTGTAAGAAGTGTTTCTCCGCCGCTAACATGGATCTGCTACCAAGTGGAGAGATCTTCAGCGAGTTGCAAATGATTCACGATACGGGCTATTTCTCCTGCCAACCCTCCTTGGAAGACACTTGGCAACAGGTACGGGCAAAGTCATGTATATGTTGGCTCTCATTAGCGTGTTTTGTTGTTTAGAAACATAATTTATTGCTAACGTTGCTGTATAGTTTAATTTTTGTATGATACGGCTGCACTCTACTCAAACCAGAACTGTTGCCAACATGTGGGGCATGAATGTAAGCTCAAACATGTAAAGTACGGCAAGTATTGCCGCTAGAACTAGATCTTTTTACCTACAGACTAGCAATGCAATGATAGTGTGCACGTTAAAAAGGATACATTTTAAAATGTTGCACAGAATGACATGATCGTTGTTAGTTAACATGTACACTAACCGTTACTGACTTACCTAGTGTAAATAAAATGTAGTGTTACATCGGTGTTACTGGTCAGGATATAACGTAATGCTTTAGGTCCACTTCCTTCAAACGAATATTTGTAACTTTTAAACATTTTCTGACACAGTCCGACATATTTTGGTTGTTGTTACTCGAACTTATCGCTGGCCGAAGGAATCTAGTCTAATCTACTCTGTTACAAGATATCAACTTAATATTTTGTCATGTCATCAGCTGGACATTTCTGATTATCCATCTTGTGTGAGATATCAAGTTGGAAAGATCTCTGTTAATAGTAGAAACGAAAAAAAAACACCAATTCAAATCCAAATTCCTAGCCCCAGATACTGTGAAAACTGATAGTTATAACTACAATTTGTCGGCAAATGCAGTATAGAACATAAAAGTCCATGGCAGCTGCACTGTAGATCACATGACATGTAACGTGCTCTACATAATTTGGTTAGTATCACTTCTTGCTGTCCTGGTTCATTCCTGTATCTTCTGTGTCCATAGCAAGAGCCAGTATGTCTCCTTTCCACCCAACTGCTGAGCTCACAACTGGTGATTAATGTTAGTAAACAACCTGCCATGTGTAATGTACGATAAATACAGCAGAATTGGATAGCATCACAATATTATATCAGAAATGAAAGTCTGACTATAGTATAAGTTGAGGGGATTCATTCGCACACTCACTGAGTCAGTAATCCCTCAGTGACACAACTGGAGCTGCATAGTTCCCATTCAGAACTTTTATTCAGCGTGTCACACTGTACAAGAATATTTTACTCCGGTCAGAATAGCACAGTCCTCAGGTCAAGAAAATTTTTACCTGTCCTAATAGTGTCTGAGGACAAAACCTTCACAGGTGTCTTACCAAGTTTATTTTTTATGAATATTAACACCCTCATTTACCTGGGAATTTCGAAGGAAGTCTCAGAATTCTTTAAATATACAGTACCTTTGGAATGTTTTTCTCAAACTTCAGTTTTTGCCTGGGGGAAAATACCTGTCATACCTGTGCATGGATTTACAAAGCACTGCTGCTGAATCTCACACATACTTCTGTCATTCCCACCATCTGTTCTTTAAAAACCCTGAAGTTTCTAAAGATAAAAACTTGTAGCTCCCCAGGCATGGCAGATTTAAAAACTTGTTCACTGCCACATGGCAGATGGATTTCTGGTACATTCCAGAGTTCAAAAACTTCAATGTTATGATGCAGTACAGCACAGTATAGTATAGTACAGTACAGTACAGTACAGTACAATATATTACAGCACAGCATAGCATAGTACAGTACAGTACAGCACAGAACAGCACAGTATAGCACAGCACAGTACAGTACAGCATAGTACAGTACAGCACAGTAGAATCTTGTACATGCGGGCAGGACCTGTGGAATTCCAATTTGGGCCGCATTTCATTAGAGATAGATTTTCAAACATGAATTAATCCTTTTTCGGATGCTTGATGCCTGCACCCTTCCAACAGTGATTCACTGACAAGCCGACAGCTGATACAACATGACAAACAAGTTTACTTCTGTATAGAATGACTGTACATTTGTCCATAGTGACATGTACCAGTCATTGCATGGATAAAAGAAGCCTTTCTCTGCCCGCTGCCCTACATGTTATTTCCTGTTTGCTTCCTGTGAGTCACTCAATATCTTTAGAACAAACACTGAGTGTAGAGAACACTAGTAAAGGCTGTATTGTACTATGGTTTGGAAACTTGGTCCATTTTTCTTTCAAGAAATAGGTGAATGTTACATGTATTGTCAATGAGCAAGAAGGGATGCTATTTCTACATGTATCATGAGCAAAAATCAGTTCCTGACTTTATCGTGTGTGTCTGTTGCATCTGGTTGATAGCACACCAGAAATAGGGAAATTTGTTTTGTGTCCACATTGCTCATGTTTCAAGTAAAATACATGATAAAGTAGACACAAGTATTGGTCATTTGTCCTATCTAATCTACTGGTATATTATAATTACACAGAAAAAGAACTCAATTGTCACTGTTACAGTCATGAAAATCTGTATGCCAACATATTCTTGTAAATATCATCCTCCGTGTATGCCACCGTTGTGCTAAGGTTAACAGACTGCTACATGTATCCTGGGCAGTAGCAGGGCATATCTTGTTTCAAGGTAGAACGCTAAATAGTTAGCATTCCTGTGAACTCAAGCATAGATAAACATCTTCTCTAATAATAGGCAGGTAGCCTGCAGGAGATGCCATAGCCATGAATAACTGGTGTTACTGATCAAGTCATGCCTATTATCACTTGCTGCACAGAAGTTTTTTTTTTCAACGTGGTTTTAACAAGGATTTTGTTTTGTTTCTGTAGACTTGCATGGAGATGGAACGTTACCTCCGCTCAGAATCCAGCCTGAAGTCGGTGGAGACATTTCTAGACGACAGTGACAACCCGTGGAATAAATTCCTACTGACGTCCAAGGAGGAAGGACTGGGTCTGTCCACTGCTGAGAACAAGGATGGCCACATGGATGATACCATGAGTCTTAGTTCAGCGTCTAGTGCATCCTGGGATAGCTCAGGAGAACTCTCGCCAACAGGCAGCATCACCTCTGACCCCTTTAAACTGGAGGTCAAAGGTCAGGGAAAGGCGTCCTGCGCTACGCTAACACCGCCCTCATCACCAGAACTTGAAAAGCGATTGTCATCGCCAGGAACTGTCTCGGTTAAACTTACAACGTCACGAGGAAGAAGTATTAGTCAGTCTCGGATTTATGCCAAAAAAATTGAACCGCCCCCAGCTGACAGTAAGAGGAGAGTTCACAAATGCCACTTCACGGGTTGCAGGAAAGTCTACACAAAAAGTTCCCATCTCAAGGCACACCAGAGAACACACACAGGTCAGTTTTTGTCTTGGTCTACTGCAAACATCATGGACTTTCCAGTCCTGACACAGCTTACTATCTGGTCAATTCTGTCCTATCTACTTACTCATGTCTTTATGTATTATACAGAGGTACTTCACATTTTCATCACTTCACCTCCCTACTGTTGCCTTGTCTTGAAACAAAATTGCAGATTACAGCATAAATTAACATGCCCGTTTATGGTAAAATTTTAAAGTGAGAGCCATTTTGGGTGGTCCTTGTTTTATCATTTTATTCCAACAGATTGAAGGCTAAAGAAAATTCATGGAAAATATAAACCAGTCTCGTATGTTGACTTCACTCGGAGTAGGATTATTTTTTAGAACTTAGAATTGTTGTGCTCCAGATTTAGCCTGTTAGCATGTACATGTTTGTATCATCAAACAGTCTCATTCTTTTGTGTTGGGTGAAAGTAAAACAAGAAAAGTGTCTTATAGACTTATACCAATCCAGATAAACTGTCACACAAACAAGACATTTTAGTTTTTGCCTTCTGCAGTTCACACAAGAAGTCAAATCATTGAAAAATGTGGTTCTGTCTGTTTGCAGGTGAGAAGCCCTACAAGTGCTCCTGGGAAGGATGTGAGTGGCGATTCGCACGCAGCGATGAGCTGACGCGTCACTACCGCAAACACACGGGGGCCAAACCGTTCAAATGTAACCACTGTGACAGGTGCTTCTCACGCTCAGACCACCTGGCGCTCCACATGAAACGACACCTGTGATCCCAGCTGCCACAGCACCTGTAACGTTCCAGCTAAGACTGGTAGATTTCTTAGCTGCATTTGTACACCTTGCATGATGCTGACATCCTAGGAATGTATTTATATTATAGGAAGGAGTACTGTGTACACAAGAAAGATGAGAGCATTGTAAATGAAAAGAAGAAAATTGCAGTGTGTTTTATTTAAAGAACCCTTGACACCTAATTATGTTTTGAA